TTTTTTTTTTTTTTTTGAGAAAGGATTTTGCTAAACTGCTGAGGCTGACCTCCAATTTACAATTCTCCTACCTCAATCACCTGAGTTGGTGGGATTAAGGCATGCCCACCACTCCTGGCTCACTTCCATCATTAATGTCACCTCTTCAGAAAGGCATTTTTGCTGATGGCTCCATGTCCCAGTCACTGCCTATTATATTTATGAAAACACTGTTTTTATCTACTTCTTATCAAACACTATCTAAATTGATCTTGCTTATTCATTTGCTTCTTATCTATCCTCTCCGCAGCTGGAATGCTGACTCCCTGAGAGAGAAGCTGGGTTGGTCCTGATCACCAAGGTAACTTCAGCACTCAGAACAGTACTTAACACCCCACAGTAGTGCTCAGGAAGTATCTGTGGAATGAGAGAATGAAAACTTCTATACACAAGACTTCCCACTGAATCTTTAAGCGATCTAGGCTTGACCTCCAAAATAGGTTGAACACTTCACAATATCAGTCTTGAGATCTGACCTCATCACCCACTCCACCTTCCCCTAGCTTGATTCTGGTTTAAATTTAAAAAAAAAAAAAAGACACAATCTGTTTTTTAGCCAAATTATTCTGAAGAGAAGGAAATCAGGGAACTGCAGCTGCAGTCTAAGGAAGTGAATGTACAGCTTTTCTAGGGACAGGAAGGACTGTCCAGCTTTCCTAGGGAAGGACATGTACAGTTCCATTTTTCAGGTCCGTGGAGAAAGTACTCCAAGCAATCAATCCTTAAAAGCGAGTAAGCTAAAAATCAGGATGCGCCTTTAAGAGGGTGTGGCCACAAGAGAAGGCAAATGCGACTGAAAAGGGGGGGCGGGAAAAGAAAAGGCCGGCCCCTTCCGACTACGTAAGCCCGGCAAGATGGCAGCGCCCAGGTCGGTAAGTGACCGGGCCTCCTAGAGCTCCCGAAATTGAAGTCCGCTCTACARCCTCCACCCTCGGGCCCTTTGTCACCCTCGGGAGCCCGGTATAAGGGAACAGAGGCATCTCCCGCTAGGCGCTAGGTCTCACACCGGGAGTGTACCTCAGGGGGCATGGGACAGGGGGCAGAGGGCAGGAAGGATCCGGGGAGTCTCAATYGGCGGCGGAGTTTTAGGGAGCAAATGGGAGGGGACTTGGCGAGGGCMACCAATGGGAATGTGTGCCTAGCCAATCAGACTGAGGGGTACTACTGATCGCTCAAGGAGCCAATGAGCATGCGGGGGTGGGTTCTGGGCCGGGAAGAGCTCTGGGAATGTTAGGGATTGGGTTCGAGGGTGGAGCCCGGAGAATAAATTTGAGGGAAATTCATGGAGATTTAGTAATTTTGGTGGAAAAACCAATGGTCCCATGAGGACAGAGTTAGGAATGAAGATGTGAATTTGGGAGTTCCAGTGAAAAGAATCTGAGGGAAATTACGGGATTTGCGATAGTCGTTAAGAGAATTTAAAGAATTGGGTAAAAATCAAGGAATGAATTCAGGGAAAATTGTCAGTTTCAGAGTTTTTAGAGGAGCCGGGCGCAGTGGCGCAAGTCTGTAATCCCAGCGGCTCAGGAGACTGAGGCCATCGGATCGCGAGTTCAGAGCCAGCCTCAGCAATTTAGCGAGGCCCTAAGCAACTAAGCGAGACCCTTTTTCTAAATTTAAAAATATGGAAAAGGGCTGGGGATGTGGCTCAGTGGGTAAGCGCMCCTGGCTCAATACCTGGTGCGCGCGCACAAATACACACACACGCGCGCGAAGGTTTGGACAAAAGGGAGAATGAGCGATTTTGGATACAGAAGAAATTTTAACCCAGCGCAGAGGGTGCACACCTGTGATCCCAGCTACTGAGGAGGCTGAGGCAGGAGGATCAGAGGTTCGAGACCAACCTGGGGGTTTAGCAACCCCGTCTCAAAATATAAATTTTTAAAAGGACCAGGGATGTAGCTCACTGGCAGAACGCCCCTGGTTCAACCCCCAGTACTGCAGAGGAGACTTTGAAAGGGAAATCGAAGGGTTGGGGGGGGGKTTCTCTTGTGGGCATGCACCTCCATTTTTCAAACCTTCTCTTAAAGGCACATACATTTTTTGGTCTTCTCGGATTTAGGGAGTGCGCAAGTGCTCTGTCCATGGTAAATTAAARAGATAAATTTAAAAGGGAGGTCTGGGGCTATATAGTTCATTGATAGAGTGCTTGCTTAGCACTCCCCAAGGCCCTGGATTCAATGTCCAGTACTAACAAAATAAAATAATAAAATTAATTAAGATTATATTTCAGTGGAAAGAAAAGGGTCAATCAGGAAGATTCCAGGGAGAATTGGGTAAAATTAACGGGCAATTTGTCAGAAATTAAAGGAGTCAGACAATTGAGGTTTTTAGAGAAAAACAGAACTTGGTGGAAGAATTTGGAAAAAAACAGAATATTTGTCTAAATCAAGGAGAAAATTTAGGGTTGATTAAAGGAAGAATTTGGGGGGCTGGGGATGTGGCTCATAAAGGAAGAATTTGGGGGGCTGGGGATGTGGCTCAAGCGGTAGCACGCTTGCCTGGCATGCGTGCTGCCAGGGTTTGATCCCCAGCACCACATACAAAACTAAGATGTTGTGTCTGCCGAAAACTAAAAAAAWAAAAWAAAATTAAAAATTCTCTCTCTCTCTCTCTTTAAAAAAAATAAAGGAAGAATTTGGGGAGAGCATGGGGAAATTTTTRGAATCCCAAAGAGTTTTATATTTTTCTCTTGGTGCTAAGGATTAAACCCAGAGCTTTGTGCCAATGAAGCAGGTGCTCTACCACTGAGCTTCATCCCCAGCTCAGAATTGGGAAGTTCTGAAAGGAGAACTTTCAGGAAGCAAGGGATTGAGGTTCATGGAACAAGAAGGGAGGGGAGGTCCAGCTCCAGATCCAGCCTCTCTTTCCTCTTCCTCTCCCCAGTTCCTGTGCCTGCTGGCCCCAATATATAATGGAGGTACTAGGGGCATCCATGGTCTGAGTGGGGCAGTGCCTCCGGAGGGCAGTCAGAGGGAGAGAAGGACACTACTCCAGTTCCTGACTGACCATTTCTACGATGTGGAGGCTCTGAGACAGTACTTGCTCCAGAGGAAGATAGCGAAGGTGCACAAGGAAAATCGGTGAGAACCTGCAGCCTACAAGACCCTGCCTGCTAATCAGCCTCACTAGTAAGAGCTTCACTCCTGCCCTGCTGCTCCCAACCAGCACCAGGGCTTCCCTACCACTGTTGCGTCTTCATATCCCGCCCACACCCTCCTCAAGGCACCTGCTGCCACCAGCTCCACTTGGGGGATCTACCTGGCCTCACACCTAACATGGCTAGAATAAACCTTTCATTTCTCCTTAAAAGAACCTGCTCAGGCTGTAGATGTGGCTCA